AAAAAGGAAAAAAAGAAGACCCAGGGAACCACAGGCCAGTCAATCTCACCTCTGTGCCTGGCAAGATTATGGAGCAGATCCTCCTGGAATCTCTGCTAAGGCACATGGAAAATAAGGAGGTGATTGGAGACAGCCAACATGGCTTCACCAAGGACAAATCGTGCCTGACAAATTTGGTGGCCTTTTATGATATTGCCACAGACTTGGTGGACAAGGGCAGAGCAACTGATGTTGTCTACCTGGACTTATGCAAAGCATTCGACAATGTCCCGCATGACATTCTGGTCTCAAAATTAAAAACTAATGGATTCAATGGATGGACCACTCAGTGGATAAGGAACTGGCTGGATGGCTGCACCCAAAGGGTTGTGGTCAATGGCTGAATGTCCAATTGGCGGCCAGTGATGAGTGGTGTTCCTCAGGGGCCCGTACTGGGACCAGTGCTGTTCAACATCTTTGTTGGAGACATGGACAGTGGGATAGAGTGCACCCTCAGCAAGTTTGCCAATGACACCAAACTCGGTGGTGCGGTCGACAGGCTGGAGGGAAGGGATGCCATCCAGAGGGACCTGGACAGCCTGGAGAGGTGGGCTTGCGCAAATTGCAAGAGGTTCAACCAAGTCAAGTGCAGGGTCCTGCACCTGGGACGTGGCAACCCCAGGCAGAAATACAGGTTGGGCGGAGAATGGCTGGAGAGCAGCCCTGAGGAGAAGGACTTGGGGGTGTTGGTGGATGAGAAGCTCAATATGAGCCGGCAGTGTGCACTGGCAGCCCAGAAAGCCAACCCCATCCTGGGCTGCATCAAGAGAAGCGTGGCCAGCAGGTCTCAGGAGGTGATTCTGCCCCTCTACTCTGCACTTGTGAGACCCCACCTGGAGTACCGTGTCCAGCTTTGGAGTCCTCAACACAGGAAGGACATGGATCTGCTGGAACGGGTCCAGTGGAGGGCCATGAAGATAATCAGAGGGCTGGAGCACCTCTCCTATGAAGACAGGTTGAGAGAGCTGGGGCTGTTCAGCCTGGAGAAGGCTCCGGGGAGACCTTAGAGCAGCCTTCCAATATCTGAAGGGAGCTACAGGAGAGCTGGGGAGGGACTCTTTGTCAGGAAGTGCAGTGACAGGACAAGGGGGAACGGTTTTACACTGGAAGAGGGGAGATTCAGATTAGATACCAGAAAGAAATTCTTTGCTGTGAAGGCGGTGAGACACTGGAACAGGCTACCCAGGAAGGTCGTGGATGCCCCATCCCTGGAGGTGTTCAAGGCCATGCTGGATGGGGCTTGGAGCAACCTGGTCTGGTGGGAGGTGTCCCTGCCCAGGGCAGGGGGGTTGGAACTAGATGATCTTTAAGGTGCCTTCCAACGCAAACCATTCTATGATTCTGTGAAATATTGCGAAAAAAACCCCACTTTTGCTTTCCACTTTGCGTGACCTGGTTCCAAACCTTTACAGGATTGCCTTGATATTTCTTGATATACAAAATGGCAGTGTGGATCCTGCTCTTCAAAAATTCCATGGGAGAAGAGGAAGGACCTGTCCCAGGATCAGCACGTGAGATGTTGGAGTTGACCTCATGGTCTCTTTGTCTGGCATTTGTGAATGGGGAAGCATGTTGTATAGCTATACTGTTGCTGCACTCGTGTTTCGTGCCACTGACACACCCCAGCCCCTGTGGCATTTAGAAAAAGAGGGAAAGGAGCCATGGAGACTGCTGAGCCCCTTTTCTCAGTCCATTCATACTACTGTGGTGCTCTTCTTTTCCACTCACATATAATTGTTTCCCACAGCAGGATCTACATCAGAAAACTTCATCACATATTTTTGGAGTGAACCACCAACATGGTAAGAAGAAACCTGAAGGGAAAATAGACCACCGAATAACTCTACTCAAGGAGAATTTCCCTCTTTATTTCTGACTTCTATTCTCCAGCATCTTCATATCCCTCTGAGAAAACTAAATGCAGCAGGCCTTTCTCAGGAATTCAATTTCTGAGGAAAAAAAAAACAAAACAAAAAGACATGGGAGTTTGAGACACAACTGTTCCCATGAGAACTCCTTTTTGCATAATTGCTGTTATCTGATTATGGTGGGAGAAGGGTTTTTTTCACCTTTACCCTTGCCTAGGACAAGTACCATGTCCTGACGCCAAGTCTCAGGAATCCAAGATGGCCAAGATAGGATATGTGCCTCTGAGTCAGATCCTGAGATCAGGAGGGTCGTGATGGCTGTGCAGTCTATTTTATGTGTTTGAGGGGTCTAATTTTCAAGGAACAAATGTAATAATTATTACCCCATCTATCCCACTTCTACCCTTCAGCTTTCCAGCCCGACAGTCTCCAGACTTCAAACATAGGTCCTTATGATATCATGTCATAGACACTGTGACTGTGGCAGCTGAGCTCTCACTCTCTGCAGAACACAAAAATTTCCTTCATGGAAGCTTTTTCCTCACGAGGTAAACTCAGGGATCATGCTTTGACCTGTGATTTGGTTCATATATATTGGGGGCTATGGTGTACCGTCTGTCAGCAGTATAGAAATGAATAAATTTCTATCTTTGGAACTTAATGGAAGTCACATTTAGTAGCATTATGCTATAACAAAGATTTTTTAAAAAGCTGCACTCCATATGAGCAGTGGGCTGTGTCACATACGTATCTGACTCAAGGTATTTGTAATAACTTGACAAGAGCTGCTGTTCAATATTTCAAAACATATTTAATCTCTGAGCCCGAGAAGCAGATTCTGTCACCATCACACAGTTTGGTTTAACTATCTACTGTACAAATACGAGACTTAAAACTTTTCCATTGCCCAGCAGCTTTAGGACATATTTCTGCTTCATTATCCACAAAGATTGCACACTGCAAACATCTACAAGTAGTAAGTTGAGGTGCTTATTATACAAAATATCATGTGTAAAACAAAACCAAGATTTGTATTAAAGCTCCTTTCTCAGACACTGAGAATGTAAATGGGAATCAACAGAAGCTATTTACAGTGCTAGACACAGTATTTTACTGCATACTTCCATTTACAATTTTTATAGTTTTTTTTTTTGTAAATTGCTGCTAAATATATATGCACTGGTCATATCAGTCAGTTCAAAACATTTTAAAACTTAAATCCTTGGAACTAGACAAAGTAATGAGCAATTTTTATGACACCAATGTTAAAAACTTGGCTTGTTTTCTGTGGTGGATAATGTCTTCAGCTTAGACTCACCCTCATGCATTCAATTAAGATTTAATACCTCCTAAGTCAAATTCTGCCCTCACTTAACAGCTTCATAGTCCCAAGTGCTGACAACAGAGGCTGCGTAGCTCTAACCAAGAGAAGACTTCATCGTCTGTGCTCAGTGAGCATAGTTAATTCCTAATCAACGCAGTGGGGTTGACCTCAATTAATAGAGGTTCAATTTCCTTTTGAATTCATGTTTCAGATGACCTAATGGAATTTCTCCAACCCTTATCGTAGCAGGAAAGGGTCTTTCATCTGAGGTTATAGTTGAACAGTCTCTCTCCCTTGCTTTCCTTAATCTCTGTAAGATGTTTGCCAACCAACAGCTATGACTCCCTGTTTGGTTTTTTTTGCATCACTTACTTTCCTTTTCTCGCACCAAATATTTTTGCTTCGAGAAAAGGATCATCCTACCTTCTTCCTTAGCAGCCTCCCCTGGACACAATAGTGTTTTCTGTCCTATGGCCTCAATGTAATTTACAAATAATGGAGGTGGTCTGTCAATGATGCTCTCTCCTCCCTGTGAGGTAAATAGAAACATGCTGTGTTGTGGAGAGGGGACAACTGACATGCCACAACCATAGCACCCTTTTACAGAAGTTCCATCTGGATTCACATAAGGCACGCTTCTGGGCAGGCAAAAAATCTGAACTGAGAAACTGTCCTTCTGTCAAAGGATGTCTCAGCCCATGGACATGCGGGAAGCAGCCCTTGACTACACAGCCTTCATCATCCAACTTGCAGCTCAAGACCAAAAGCAGAGCAGGAGATTTGGGAAGGTGGACATAAAGAGCATAGGGCTGTCTCACTCTCTTTTTGCTCCTTGGCTGCTGTTTCTCAAGCACCATTTAGAGCAGCCTAGTCATGATCTCACCTAATTGCGTGGCTCATGGCTCCAAAATAGGACCTTCTGATCATAATGTCTGGAAATATGAGGTCATGACAGCAAAAGGCCAGTTTCGTAATGAAAGTATGGCTTTCAGGTGCCACTGGCTTCAAGCTCAGCAGTAAAACAAAGGAGAAATCTATATTTGGGGACCTGCATGGAAAGCATTGCCATTGCCATTTGCTGTACAGCAGAGGTAAAAAAGTAGATAGAGATATAAAAAATAAATAAAAATAAATAATAATAAACAAACAAACAAATAAACAAAACCAGAAAAGAATATAATTATCCAGCTTATGACTGTAGTAAGTTTCAGGAAAAAATACATTTTTTTGCCACAGAGGTTAGTTAAATTGTTTAACTGAGAATGTCATTGCTGAGCTCTGCAATAACCAGCACAGAACTGCCTGGACCTACAGTGGAATGACAGAACCTACAGAATGGCTGACTCTCCCAGGAAAGGTTTTCTTATCCTTATATTGCTTGACTTTTTTTACACCACATCTGTGCTTGCTTCGTCATTCCGCCATCTGCTGTAACAAAATACAGGCAAAGTATTTCAGAAAACAACCCCTCCATACTTCAAAATGCTCCAACCCAGAGCACAGCCCTGTACTTCTCACAAGCTGTAGCGCTTATTATCCTCTCCTCCTCCTCCTCCCTCGGCCCCCCCACCACATGCATGATGAATTACATACGCGTACCAAGCGTGGAGAACACAGGATCCCATTGACTTTGCCACAATGTTTCTATTAAACGAAATGAATGGTTATGTGCTTTACTTCGCTGTGCAAACGCGTTTGCTGAAAGGTCAGAAATAGCAGGTCATTATCATTAAATTTTTAATTTTGGAACTCCCAATCAGACTTGTTTCCTGTTTGGTATTGTCTGCAGATACACAATGTACAGCCGAGCAAAAAGACTTTTGATTGCTAAAGCATCGAAATAACAGAGTAGGAGCAGAGTGGTTTCGAGCACACACTCTGTAGAGTCCAGTCAAAGTTTCTTCCTGGTGCAGCCGCACAAATCTCTTGGTAGCAGTAAACTGGCTGCACAGACTTCATTCCTGAACACATGTTCAAAGGTGATAAAATAAATGCAGATGGTTTCCCAAAACCTCAGTGGAGCGTTTTTTACTGTTACTAAATGGACTGTAAAAAAACTAGGGAAAAAAAAAATGGACAAAATACAGTTTGACACAGACAGGCAATTTCAGAATAGCGTTCGGTCGTTTGGGAGAAAAGCTAAATGAAATGTGTGTTTATAATGATCTATTGGCAAAACAATATTGACAGAGCATCTGAACTGCCTAATGGGACTGAATTTTAGAATACTCAAACTAGACTAACGTTGCGAGCTGAGTATTTTGCTTAATTACTTAACACACATCAAAAAAGTTGGACAGGAACTTTGAATTCATTGTGCCGTGACCAAAGTTGACAATAAAACCATTCCCGGCTACAGTGAAAACAGGATTAGGCCTTAACAAATTTATTACAGGCTTTGTTTACAAACTTGTTACAAAATTATACAGCATCTTATGCGTACACAGGATTTACAAGAACGCGTAACTGATGTGTGCAATTGCTCCGCTCTCTGGTTGAGATCTTCAGGTTTTCCTTCGCTCAGGGCCTGATCCAGCTTCCACTGGAGAAGGTGAGAATTTTTCCATGGACTTTAGTGGAAGCTGGATCTGATCCAGAGGGTAACACTTCCGTTCATTGTTAGACTGGGGTGGGAAAGAGGCAGCCGATCTAATAACCTTATGCACCATGCTTCTTTCTTGTTTAATGTGTTTCAGATGACGGGACGTTGCATTTACTCTGATACATTTCTGCTGGTGGCTTGTAAAATACTTGCTGCATTGGTACAGTTAAGAGTCAAAGCCCAGTTCCTGTTACTGGATTTACAGTGAAAAATGACAAATGGTTTTATTTGAACCTATAAAGAATGAACCTCCCTTGATTTTCAGTGAGCAGAAATAAAGGCATAGGATCGACTCTAATGTTGTTTATATTGCTATAAACCTACATTTTCTCGCCCATCTTCAATAGGATTTCTCTCGATTTACAGTGATGTAAATAAGCATGGCATCCAGCCTGTAGGAACAAGGTAGTTTCCAATTAATGGGATATAGGGTCTGTAAGCAACAGTGATTAACCAAGCTCAGTAAGTTTTCTTGCTTCCTCTTCCCATATGGAGATAGACCTATCTGGCATACTGAAGCGTGGAGATCTCTAAAGTTAGTGATCCATGACAATACAGGCTCTCAATTACGTACAGCATCTGAAAATGGTCCTTATTTGGGGAATTCAGGGTATAAAATTGGGCTTTTAGCTTGCAAAAAATTTCAGTGGGGCAGGAATCCAAAAAATATGTTTGTCCCTCCAAGCAAAAAATTTAGTTGAAACCTAAACTTCCATACTAGTAAAACTTGCAAAAGCTCGGTTGAGGATTTATTTATTTTTTTTTTTAATGTTTGCCAAAGAAGGAGAAGACTGGAAAAAATCTAGTCTGATCAGATACCAAGTTCCTTGTTACAATTGCCTTGGAATTGAACCTCTGAAGTTATTATTGCTTGAAGCAAAGTTAGGATTTAGTACTGTGAGGTGATGATATTTCCTGTGACGTAAATACCCTGGCCTCATGTTGAAAATTGAGATGGTTCTCAAAGCCTTTGTTTGAGGCCTCCCCTGCAGAATTATACCTATACACTGCAGCCTGGCTTTCAGAGGCACTGCTATTCCAGTGCTTGGCCTCATAAGTGACCTGTCCAGTTCTCCAGTGGTTTTATGATGTGTAACCCTCTCTGTGAGGGAATAGGGGAGACCACACAATCTCCTGACCTGTTGCAGATTTGAAGTTGGTTCTCCAGTAGTGAAAGCTGCATGAACAAAGGCAATCTGCAACCTCAGTTCTGAGTGCTCTGATCTCATTTTCATGTGATGCTGAACATACTATAACAGTTAAAGCCATAGTGTAGAAAACAAAGACCACTACAGCTGTAACGCTTTTTGAATGACTGGCATTTTTCAACCCCAGCTGGGTGTTAAGATCTAGCTAGACACAGATAACATATGCAGTCCTATTTTAATTCTGTTGAGAGCCATGACAAGACTCTTATTTACTTTTATGGGAGTGGGATCCCATCCAGGGATCCCAGAGCTAATGTATAATAGACCATCTCATAATAGACAATCTTTGAGAGGAGATTTGGATGAAATATTAGGAAGAAATTTTTTACTGTGAGGTTGGTGAGGCACTGGAACAGGTTGCCCAGGGAAGCTGTGGCTGCCCCATCCCTGGAGGTGTTCAGGGCCAGGCTGGATGGGGCTTTGAACAACCTGGTCTATTGGGAGGTGTCCCTGCCCCGGGCAGGGTTTGGAACTAGATGGTCTTTAAGGTCCCTTCCAACCCAAACCATTCTATGATTCTATGATCTCTTCAGGAAGTGTAATTATTATTGTCCCCAGTGGAGCTACATGACAATAGAAAGGAGAGTTTGAGGTATATATATGCTAGTACATTTATCTGTCCTAAGTAACAACTCACCTGTATAATTGAAGAACTTCATTATAACTACGGACTACTTGCTTTTCAGTCACCATACTGCTCAAAAAGATCTATTATTTTATGTTTTTATGAAAAGTACCAGATTTGTTGAGCATATTTTTGCCCCTGTCAAAAATGGAGAATGGATTGCTGAGGAGAACTGCTTCATACAGGTGTGTGGCTTTGATATCCATGCCAGGATATTATATTTTTCTTTACTAAAATTTGCAAGCCAAGGGCTCTTTTAAGGTTAAGACACCATCAGCTTTATTTCTAATTTAAAAACTCAGACAAAGAGGAATGATCCAACAATGCAAGCAGAAGATAATTGATTTGTGTGAGGAGGAAGAGGCTGATCACAACAAATAGTAAAATCTGAAGAAATCATCTTTCACTATCCATTTAGATTGGTTCTTGGCTTCAGTAAATTCCTGCTGTAAATATTTTAGATAATTTTTTTTTTAATTCTTTCTATGATGAACTGGCAGCACTAGAAAGAGTTGTAAAACAAATGTGTTTCAAAAACATAAATGAAAGTTACTGGATTATTAGCTGTCACTGTGAAATGCTACCAGAGCGAAAATGGTCATTTCACTGGAAAAAATGGCATAATACACAGAAATGGCTGCTTGAAGCCTGTAATGTTGACATCATCTGCAGTCTACAACACATATTTTGGTCCATTTTAGTTTTGGTGTCAGGAGTCAATACTGCATCCAATTAAACGTGAACGTATAGAGCAGGGAATATAAATATGTACGCAACTCTTGACATTGATCTGATTTTTAACAAGTTTACTAAATGACAGTCACTGGCTTGACAATACTGAATGAAAAATACTGATTTTACACAGATTTTACAGTAAGGTTACAGTATGCTGCCAACAAGCAGTGTCACAAACATAGTCTAAAAAAACCTGGAGTTGCCCACAGCAGAGGCACACACCCTTTGCTCTTGTTTATTGAGAGAGAAAGCTTATATACTGTAGATTTGCTGAAGTTTAATAAATAAGGTCAACTTATAATATATAAAACAATATAAACATTTATATGCTACATGCATATCATATAATTTAAAGTAATAATTTATATAGCAGAGATGCAGATTTATGTTCTTCCTATTTTTCTTGACAATGCACACACACAGGAGGTGTCTATTCTTATCCATCTCCAGCCTACCAGTTTATTATTTTCTGAAGTCAGTGCTCTAACGTATGTTTGGGATGTCTTGCATTGGGAGTTCCAGTGCTTATCATCAATGCCGCGGCAGCCATTTTTTACCGGCTTGGCTTCTTTACACCTCGTTTCATAAAAGTATTGCTTTACTGGAGAGTTGCCTGTTTTAATTTCTCCCAGAACAGTTACCTGGTGTCCTCTAATGTCGATCGCAGATGATTTGTCCGTCACCCATAAACTTTCACTGTCACAAACAGAATATTCCCCTCGGTGACTCTTGTGCTCCGCGTACCTTTTCCGCCGGGAGGTTCTGTTCACCACCACCGAGTTTCCAATATAATCCTCCATGAGGTACAGAGGTGGTGGTTCCAGCGGTGTGTTGTCGCTCAAGAGGACTCGGGGAGAGTTGTAGCGTCTGTGCTGCCTTAAGAGGTCTGTATCCATTGAGATAACTGGCTGGAAGTCTGATTTCACATTTTCATCTCCATCCATATCTTGCTGTGTGTCTACTTTCTGCACTGTGTTTTGATAGTTTTCCTTGATATCTACCATCTGCTTAGAAAGCTTGTTTTTCAAAATGTCTGCCTGAATGAGTTTAATGATAAGAGAATTAATTGAATCTTCTGGCAAACTCCTTTGATCCATGTTGGTAGACTGGATGCCACGAAGATAAGAGAGAAATATCACATAAAACAAGATGGACATCACCTTGTTCACCTGTAAGATCTGCAAAGGAAGAGAAAGTCAACATAAAACCAATTAAATAGGAAAGTTTACTAGAGGCTGTAAACATAAAAATTTTTATTTCTTTCTGTAATATCTGCACTTCATAAATACAGATAAGCTATGAGTTTCTTTGAAGATATTATTTCATTATACTTTATAATGATGAAACTGTTTTCTGATTTTTTTTTTCAGTGTTTCCTCTATATTTCATGCACTTTTCAAAATGACCTTACTTTTCCTCTTTCCATGCATAGTGGTATACATGTCAATTGGGTCCTTTCTCTACAGAGGTAGGTAGTTCTTGGGATGGTATGTCCAGGTCTTGGTGGCAGAGAGGCCAAGTTACTTTCATAGATAAAATAAAATAAATACCATATTTCAATAGCCATTTCACTCTCTTTCTCTCTTTGGCAATGTAAGGGAAAATATTCTTGAAGGAAAACGATGCAGTCAAGCACTAAAGTGGGGTTTCTTATATTTTGAACTTCAGAAAGCAGTGGTGAGGCTTCTCTAATACAGTAGGAAATTCAAATGGATCCACAGACACTTTTATACTGATTGTTTTGTGGGCTGTGGCCTGGGTTTTTTTGTTTGCTTTTAATGAAATTCCTTCATTATATTTATATAAAGTGGAACAAAACTTACAGTACTTAGAAATATTCAAGGAGAGATCGAGGATACCTCCCTTCCCTCTACCCTACCTTCCCTTCCTCCCACCCACCCCACCCCCTACCTCAACCCAGTGAAGAATATTGTTCAAAAAGATCAAAAGGAACTCAAGATCAAGATTTTGAAAACTGGACCTAAAAGCATGCTTTGTCTCTGTACTGGACTTTCCCATGCATGGCTCTATATGGATTCCTGTAGGGTCTTCATAATTTTAGCTTCTGACCATCTTCTAGAGGGTCATTTGTCATTTCTTTTTAAATCCTTCTGTCATTCTGTTTGTGTGGTTGAAACTGTGAGCATCTGTCTAAGGAAGTGGTTTTCTTCCTTGTGGATAGCTGTATATTTTGTATTTGCACTTATATTTAAATGAAATTAATTGTCAATGTAAACTACTAAGTCATGTCCACCCCACATCAGACCACTAGTACTTTGGGATGAAGGCACAGAGTTACAGAACACGGAACAGATGGAGTTGAAAGGATACTCAGGAGACCATCTTCTAGTCCAATCTCACTGCTCAAAGCAGGGTCAGCTACAGCAGCTTGCACAGGGCTGCACCCAGTCAGGTTTTGAATATCTCCATGGATGGAGACTCCACAACCCTTCTAGTCAACCTGTTCCAGAGTTGGACCACCTTCACAGTAAAAAAAACAACACCAAAACAAACAAAAAAAAACCCCAAACCAAACAAAAAACCCACCCACCCAAACAAACAAACAAACAAACAAACAAACAAACAAACAAACAAACAAACAAACAAACAAACAAACAAACAAACAAACAAACAAACAAACAAACAAACAAACAAACAAACAAACAAACAAACAAACAAACAAACAAACAAACAAACAAACAAACAAACAAACAAACAAACAAACAAACAAACAAACAAACCCCAAACCAACAAAAACAAAAACCTCATGTTTCAGTGGTATTTCCTATATCTCAGTTTGTGCCTATTGCCTCTTTTCCTTTCACGGGACACCCCTGAGAAGACCCTGGCTCCATCTTTTTTACTCCCTCACATCAGGTATTTCTATACTTTGATATGATCCCCCTGAGAGTTCTCCTCTACAGGCTGAACAGCCCCAGCTCTCTCAGCCAATCCTAATATGACAGATGCCCTTGTGCCTTAATCATCTTTGTGGACTCACTCCTGTATGTCTGTGCCTCTCCTGTACTGGGAAGCCAAAACTGGGCACAGCATTCCACATGTATCCTCACCAGTATGGAGTTGAGGGGAAGGATCCCCTCCCTCAACTTGTTGGTGACACTCTGGGTACTCTGTGTTTTTCCCAGAAGAAATTGCAGAAATGTCAGACCTCTTTAACAGAAAATTTCCCACTTCAGAAAATCACCATTTTCTGTTTAAAAAGGTAAAGATTTTTCTGTTTAAGAAGACAAAGAAAAAAATAAAAAAAAAAAAAATTGGAGAATCCTCTATCGACTCTAAGTAAAACTCCTTTTAGCAGCAGTGAGTCCCCACTTCATAGTTTGGAACTGCAGCAAAATCAGAGCTACCCTCTGTGGTTGTGTGATCTGTCCTTTTATGGACAAGAAATGTGTTTTCTCCATTCTCAGTTTGTCACAGTATGAGTTCACCTAAATCTAGACTGTTGCTTGCAGCAATGTTATGCTTTGGAAAAAAAAAAAAAAAACCAACTAAGATTTTGAGTTACCATACAATTACTGTCATACCTAAATAAATACTATCTTAATGTAGATGGATCTCAGAGCCCAGACTGTGCTGTATAAAAAGATTTCTTCCTGTGCAATTTGGTCTTCCCTCAGTAAATTATTTGGTTTTAAGAACAGTAAAAATATTATAAAACAGATGTCATTCAGCGGATTTCTTGCAGCACTCAGAAGAGCTAACCCACGCGCAGCATGACACTCAAGTCCATAGGATGGTGAGCAAAGCTCCCACAACGCTCAGCTCAAAAGCTGAAAGCATTATTCATGCCAACATGCAGCTGCATGTAATCACTGGTCTGCTTAGTTTCAAAACTAAGTGGCACTAGCAAAATACACAAGTTGGAGCAGGTGATGAGGTGGGAAAAGTAAGACTGGAGTGCTTGCAGGCTCTCTTTCATGTCATGCTGCGCACAGAAAGGAAAGGCTAGGGACCTCAGGATTACAGCAGTTTGAATAAGCTATTTTTCTTGTCCATGGAGGAACCCCGTTAATGGAAAAAAAAATTAAATTTATTTCTCTGAACCTAATGTAAAATGTCTTGTGAATTTAGTAGGAAGGGTGGTAAACTGCTCCGAAATCTGAATTGTAGTTTGATTTGTGCTTGGCAAATTATTTGCTGCAAAAGTAAAAATCTTTCGGAAGCAATCTTTTCATTTTGCTGAAATGTTTCAGGGTTCAAAGTTTGGAAAGAAAATACAAACACTTGGTGAAATTACACTTTTCAGGGAGTTTTCTTCCCAGACAGTTCACCTAGTAGGTGCGTAAGTGGCATTTTCAGGCCTGACTCAAAATTGTCAGGTTGTCCATGAAGTTCAGCACCTCAGAATATGCGTAAAGTGCTACTCTGTCTAGGAGAAATGGATGTTTCTGGGAAACTACAGCTGGTTTATGGCCTTGGCTCTACTTTGAGTATGACACCTTAAAAGTGTACTGGTTTGTAGAGCTGCAAAGTATTGTCTTTGATAAATAGCTCTTTGCCCAAGATGCAACTTTGTGCCTGTCTAAATTGAAGATAATTCGCAATTTCTAGCTTTTTTTTGGTGTGTGTTGTTAAATTGATAAAAGGAGAGGAAAATGCGTAACATTAAAATGTTTATGTTTTCATATTTTCAAAGCAAATCATTCTGATGTTTCTGGACGTGCTTCAAACATTGCACAATGCAATGCAGAAAACAGGAAAAGTGCTTACTCAGTACAGCCCGGTGAGTAAGTTATCTACAGAGGAGACTGGCATTCAGAGGCAAGATTTCAACAGAGGTATCCCGTCTCAGACTGACCTAACTTCCAGGCTTGTATAGACCTTAGCAGAAGCTACTCCAGCACAAATAACAATAGCTCCTTCTTCAGCCTTTTGGAGAACGGTATAAAAATTCCCCCAAGCATTTAGTCCTTCACAGGATTTTTTTATTTAATTCTCTCATTAAAAGTTCTTAAAACTAAAAGCAGTCCTTTCAAGTAGACAGATTTTGTTCAAGCCAAACTTTTTTCTAGTTAGCTGATGAGTGTGGGACATTTTGGTTGTTCTTTAAGGTTCTTCTTGAAATTTTTCACACGTAAATCCCTGAAAAGTTTCCTTTTTGCTGTCTTTGAGGACTGTTTGCAGTCAAATAAGCACGGGATGAATGGTCCTAGAAATGGCCACAATACTCTTTACATCCCTACAGGAAGTATAGACTAGATTACTATATTCAGTGCCTGGGTCCCAAGTAGGCATAGGCAAGCATTTCCACTGTGACTGCAGAGTAAGGGCACAACCCAGCAAGCATGCTTCCTACTCCAGTATCAGCTGAAGTAATGTTATTAGATACAAATAGAGAAGGCTGTAATTGTTGACTGTTCCACCTCAACTTTTCCACCTGGAGAAGAGGAGGCTCCGGGGAGACCTAATAGCAGCCTTCCAGTACCTGAAGGGAGCCTACAGGAAGGCTGGGGAGAACCTGTTTAGAAAGGCCTGTAGTGACAGGACGAGGGGAAATGGCTTCAAACTGGAGGGGAACAGATTTAGATTGGAGATTAGAAGGGGGTTCTTTACTGTGAGGGTAGTGGAGCACTGGAACAGGCTGCCCAGGGAGGTGGTTGAGGCCCCATCCCTGGAGATATTCAAGGAGAGGCTCGATGAGGCCCTGAGCAACCTGGTCTAGTTGGGGGTGTCCCTGCTGACTGTGGGGAGGTCGGACTAGATGGCCTTTGGAGGTCTCTTCCGGCCTAGGAAATTCTATGATTCTATGATTCTATGAATTCTGCCTGATATCTAATCGTGCTAGAGTGTTGAGCACTAACGTTGGTACCTGAGCTCAGTTTCTGTTTCCACAGGCTGTCAGGCCAGCTGTGACGCACCACCTAGTCAACATTAAGGTCTGTGACGGCACATGACTGAAATGTGTGTTCAGTATACATTGGATATAAAGACACATCCATCTGAACGAGTATAATCATCTCACTGTGCAGTGCCTACGACGTGCTACAGTCCATGTGGTTGCAGAACAGTTTAGATAGCCTGAATCCAGAATTGATCCAGCCCGTTCTCTGGATTCACATCCAAAGGTATCCCTTGTTGATCAGTTTATGGTGGACTCATTGTTTGGCTGGGGACTCAATAGTGGCCGGACATAATCATAAACTGCTTGTCTCACTTT